CCCCCCCAAGATTTTGCCTATCTAAAAAAGGACTCACCTCCTTCCACATCTTCTCTTCCTCAGATTGATGAGGACATGACTGCCCGAATCAGCATGGCCGATGTCAAGTTCTCTTTCCAATGCCCTGGGCGCATGTATGCACCTGCATGGGTGGCCCCTGAAGGTGGGTCAGGGTGTTGTATTGGGAGGGAGGGAGGGACCATCTCAGCAGTAGTGCAAAGGGGCAGAGACAGGACACATAGCTGGAACAGATAAGCCCTATCCCTCCAGCTCTGCAGAAGAAGCCTGAAGACACAAACAGACGTTCAGCAGACATGTGGAGTTTTGCAGTGCTTCTGTGGGAACTAGTGACACGGGAGGTACCATTTGCTGACCTCTCCAATATGGAGATTGGAATGAAGGTGAGAGCAAAACTACATATGCTTGTGTTGGGGGAATGGTGATGGTGATGGTAGTAGTAGGCCTTTGCTCTTCTTATATCTGTTCAGTCATAGAGTAGCTGTGCTCCAAGTGCCATAAGCTTCTTTTCACCTAAGACTCCAATTCTAGGGCTCACCTTGTTTTTCCTTGCATTTGCAGGTGGCGCTGGAAGGTCTCCGGCCTACCATCCCACCAGGCATTTCCCCCCATGTGTGTAAGCTCATGAAGATCTGCATGAATGAAGACCCTGCTAAGCGACCCAAGTTTGACATGATTGTGCCTATCCTGGAGAAGATGCAGGACAAATAGGACTAGAAGGTCCTTGCCTGAACTCCAGAGGTTGTCAGGACATGGTTGGGGGAGTGCACCTCCCAAAGCAGCAGACCTCTGGTTACCTCCCCTGCCTCCAGTCATGGTACTACCCCAGCCATGGGGCCCATCCCTGCCCCCATCCCTACCACAGTGGCCCCAAAAGGGGCTGGGATCAGAGCTTTGTCACTTGCCACACGGTGTCTCCCAATATGGGAGGGATCAGCCCCGCCTGTCACAATAAAGTTTATTACGAAAACAGGCTGGTGTTGGGACAAGGGGACAAACAAGAACATTTAGGTTGGGTGGCTCAGGTGAAGTAGTGTGGCTTCTTCACATTGATGCCATACTCGCTGAGGGCAGGGGTCAAGTCCTCCATGGTTAGAGTATACTTGCGGTCCTGAGGGAAGAGAGAAAAGCACAAGCTGAGCGCAGGAATCCGACTTCAATCCCAGTAGGCGACCCACAGCAGGTCTTTTACCTCCCCTCAGGATAAGTCCCCACTACTCTGGAGAATAATTACTGATTCAGTGAACCTTCCCTCACACCTTGCTTTTGCTCCTGGAGCTGCCAGAGGCCGTGCCCTTCATCTTGCAGTGCTGTAGGGCATCGTTGGCAATATCTGAGATGAATTTCTGGGCAGCTAGGGAGATGAGCCGAATTCTAGAGAGAAGAGAACTGGTATGAGAACAAGGGACAACACACTGCACCGGTACCTAAAGCGCCAACCTGCCTTAGGTTTACTCACATGCGTGGATCTGAGGCCTCAAAGCCAGCGCGGTTCAGGTAGTAACCAGTCACTGCATCTGGGATCTGAGAAATCAATTAGATAACTGTCAGTGGTAATCCTGTACCTGGCTGGGCTCAGCAGGAGGGGTGAGGGAAATGGAGGACAGGCCTGGCTCTCTGGAAGCTGACAGTGTGGGTGGGCAGAGGGAATAAATCACAAGAGCTAAAGGGGTGCAAATTTAAGACGTCGACGTGGCAAACGGCTGAATGCTGGCGTGAGGATGGCCTGCTCAGGCGGGAAGCCCACCGTAGGCGTGTAATCCTCCAGCTGCATCAAGAAGTCCACCAGAGGCGTGCTGGACACCACGGGCTTCACGTCTCCGTTGGCCGCGCTCGGCAGTACGTAAACCCCGTTAGACATGGCCCCCTCCGGGGGCGCCGCACCACCTGCCGTCACCGGAGCTGGAGGAGAACCAGCAAACTGAGATATGGAGGGGGGAGGCGCAGGGACCCAGCCAGGTCCGTCGTAGACCCTGTGGCCTCGCCCGCCGCTGGGCCAAGTCCAAGGCA